AAAGCCAGAGAGCGCCCCAGAAGGGTGTGGGAGAGCCAGAGAGCGCCCCAGAAGGGTGTGGGAGAGCCAGAGAGCGCCCCAGAAGGGTGTGAGAAAGCCAGAGAGCGCCCCAGAAGGGTGTGGGAGAGCCAGAGAGCGCTCCAGAAGGGTGTGGGAGAGCCAGAGAGCGCCCCAGAAGGTCTGGGAGAGCCAGAGAGCGCCCCAGAAGGGTGTGAGAGAGCCATAGAGCGCCCCAGAAGGGTCTGGGAGAGCCAGAGAGCGCCCCAGAAGGTCTGGGAGAGCCAGAGAGCGCCCCAGAAGGGTCTGGGAGAGCCAGAGAGTGACCCAGAAGGGTGTGGGAGAGCCAGAGAGTGACCCAGAAGGGTGTGGGAGAGCCAGAGAGTGACCCAGAAGGGTGTGGGAGAGCCAGAGAGCGCCCCAGAAGGATGTGGGAGAGCCAGAGAGCGCCCCAGAAGAGTGGGAGAGCCAGAGAGCGCCCCAGAAGGGTCCGTGAGAGCCAGAGAGCGCCCCAGAAGGGCCCGTAAGAGCCAGAGAGCGCCCCAGAGAGAGCCAGAGAGCCCCCCCCAGAAGGGTCTGGGAGAGCCAGAGAGCGCCCCAGAAGGATGTGGGAGAGAGAGAGCCAGAAGGCCCCATGAGAGCCAAGGAGAGCGCCCAGAAGGGCCCGAGAGAGCCCCCAGAAGGGTCCGTGAGAGCCAGAGAGCCCCCAGAAGGGTCCGTGAGAGCCCAGAGAGCGCCCCAGAGGGTCCGTGAGAGCCAGAGAGCCCCCCAGAAGGGTCCGTGAGAGCCAGAGAGCGCCCCAGAAGGGCCCGTGAGAACCAGAGAGCGCCCCAGAAGGGTCCGTGAGAGCCAGAGAGCGCCCCAGAAGGGCCCGTGAGAGCCAGAGAGCGCCCCAGAGAGAGTAATGTTCCGCGGGATTAACAATGGTAATAAAACTTGCAGCTGCCTTCTGTTTTACGGCTGTCAGTCGCTGCTCGCATTTTTCCCGCTAAAATGGAAATCAGTTTTATTTGAAAACTTCGTCATGGCCCAGCGGCGCCTAGTCTGAGTTGGCTTAATATTTCACTTATTACTTTAACTTGATACACCTGTTTCCAATGATGATTATATTATATAATATATATATAATATAAGAGAGAGGGAGAGAGAGTGTGTGTGTGTGTACTCACCTAATTGTGCTTGTGAGGGTTGAGCTCTGGCTCTTTGGTCCCGCCTCTCAACGGGACCCTTGTGTGTGTGTGTGTGTGTGTGTGTGTGTGTGTGTGTGTGGCTCGTGTTTATCGTTGTATTAGCTTGTCTGTCTCTCTGTATGGAGGCTTGACTGTATGAACACCTTCCTCCTGGCGTGAAGACTTCTACCTTCGTATTGTATCCCAAGACGTATTGGAAGTAAAGTTAAGAGTTGCTGTAGTCATAATAACGTGCACGATAACACGGCCTATAGTAACTTAAATAATAACGATAAGAAACTTCCAGAAGGTGTTGTATCGGAAGATTTGTGTTCGTACCTGATGGGTGTTGCCTTGGGTGGGGGAGAAATAGCTCCTGGGCCCGCCTCCTCTCCTTAAGGTATGGGATGCAGCATCTCATTGGTCCCTCAGAGACCCATAGATAATTTAGAATGCGTGTATTGTGTCTGTCTCAACTACCTTTGTTTTGTCGTAAGTTCACTCCAGCCAGCCGCTACCAACACTGCCAGTGTTCACTTGTAGTGATGACCGCCTGATCTGTTGGTGTTGGCTTTGAACCTACTTCTTGGCAACCTTGTTTATTCCTCAGTGTCGACTGTATATCTTCCCAGAGGCCAGGCTTGGGATCTGGCCGTATGTGTGTGTGTGTGTCTCTGTCAGTGTCGTGTGTGTGTGTGTGTACTCACCTATTTGTGCTTGCGGGGGTTGAGCTTTGGCTCTTCGGTCCCGCCTCGGACACACACACTGTGTGTGTGTGTGTGTGTGTGTGGGTGTGTGTGTGTGTGTGTGTGTGTGTGTGTGTGTGTGTGTCTCTGTCAGTGTCGTGTGTGTGTGTGTGTGTGTGTGTGTGTGTGTGTGTGTGTGTGTGTGGGTGTGTGTGTGTGTGTGTGTGTGTGTGTGTGTGTGTGTGTGTCTCTCTCTCTCTTAGTGTCGTGTGTGTGTGTGTGTGTGTGTGTGTGTGTTTACTAGTTGTGTTTTTACGGGGGTGAGCTTTGCTCTTTCGGCCCGCCTCTCAACTGTCAATCAACTGTTTACTAACTACTTACTAACTACTTTTTTTTTTTTCCCACACCACACACACACACACACCCCAGGAAGCAGCCCGTGACAGCTGACTAACTCCCAGGTACCTATTTACTGCTAGGTAACAGGGGCATTCAGGGTGAAAGAAACTTTGCCCATTTGTTTCTGCCTCGTGCGGGAATCGAACCCGCGCCACAGAATTACGAGTCCTGCGCGCTATCCACCAGGCTACGAGGCCCCTGTGTGTGTGTGTGTGTGTGTGTGTGTGTGTGTGTGTACTCACCTAGTTGTGTTTGCGGGGGTTGAGCTCTGGCTCTTTGGTCCCGCCTCCCAACCGTCAATCAACAGGTGTACAGATTCCAGAGCCTATTGGGCTCTATCATATCTACACTTGAAACTGTGTATGGAGTCAGCCTCCACCACATCACTTCCTAATGCATTCCATTTGTCAACCACTCAGACACTAAAAAAGTTCTTTCTAATATCTCTGTGGTTCATTTGGGCACTCAGTTTCCACCTGTGTCCCCTAGTGTGTGTGCCCCTTGTGTTAAACAGCCTGTCTTTATCTGCCCTGTCGATTCCCTTGAGAATCTTGAATGTGGTGATCATGCCCCCCCTAACTCTTCTGTCTTCCAACGAAGTGAGGTTTAATTCCCGTAATCTCTCCTCGTAGCTCATACCGACGTGTGTGTGTGTGTGTGTGTGTGTGTGTGTGTGTGTGTGTGTGTGTGTGTGTGTGTGTGTGTGTGTGTGTGTGTGTGTGTGTTTACTAGTGTGTTTACTAGTTGTGTTTTTGCGGGGGTTGAGCTTTGCTCTTTCGGCCCGCCTCTCAACTGTCAATCAACTGTTTACTAACTAACTACTAACTTACTAACTACTTTTTTTTTTCCCACACCACACACACACACACCCAGGAAGCAGCCCGTGACAGCTGACTAACTCCCAGGTACCTATTTACTGCTAGGTAACAGGGGCACTTAGGGTGAAAGAAACTTTGCCCATTGTTTCTGCCTCGTGCGGGAATCGAACCCGCGCCACAGAATTACGAGTCCTGCGCGCTATCCACCAGGCTACGAGGCCCCCTTGTGTGTGTGTATGCGTGTGTGTGTGCGTGTGTGTGTAACCTCTCAGTGTCGCATGTGTGTAGCTTTCGAGTGTTGGTACCTGGATGGGGTTGTGGGAGTTGTACTCTCCAAACCCGGCCCGGGGCCAGGCTTGGGGCCAGGCTTGGAGCCTGCTTTGGGGCCAGACTTGGGGCCAGCTTTGGGGCCAGGCTTGGGGCCAGGCTGGTGGCCAGGCTGGGGGCCAGGCTTGAGGCCAGGTTGGGGCCAGGCTGGTGGCCAGGCTGGGGGCCAGGCTTGAGGCCAGGCTGGTGGCCAGGCTGGGGGCCAGGCTTAGGGCTCTCTCTCTCTCTCTCTCTCTCTCTCTCTCTCTCTCTCTCTCTCTCTCTCTCTCTCTCTGGCTCCCCCTTGCCATAACTCTACATTTACTGAGCGAGACTTCAAATAGTCATTTATCACACCTCTCGTGTAGCCTGTTTATGCCCCGCAGCGCTCTGATGGCCTCTTGTGTTGATATTCCCCTCGCCAACTGGGCTCTGTCTTGTTGATGGGTCAGGTGGAGAGGTGTGGCCTTGGCCAGCGGCGCCTGTCAGGTGGAGAGGCGTGGCCCTGGCCAGCGGCGCCTGTCAGGTGGAGAGGCGTGGCCCTGGCCAGCGGTGCCTGTCAGGTGGAGAGGCGTGGTCCTGGCCAGCGGCGCCTGTCAGGTGGAGAGACGTGGCCCTGGCCAGCGGTGCCTGTCAGGTGTAGAGGCGTGGTCCTGGCCAGCGGCGCCTGTCAGGTGGAGGAGGCGTGGCCTTGGCCAGCGGCGCCTGTCAGGTGGAGAGGCGTGGCCCTGGCCAGCGGCGCCTGTCAGGTGGAGAGGCGTGGCCCTGGCCAGCGGCGCCTGTCAGGTGGAGAGGCGTGGCCCTGGCCAGCGGCGCCTGTCAGGTGGAGAGGCGTGGCCTTGGCCAGCGGCGCCTGTCAGGTGGAGAGACGTGGTCCTGGCCAGCGGCGCCTGTCAGGTGGAGAGACGTGGTCCTGGCCAGCGGCGCCTGTCAGGTGGAGAGACGTGGCCCTGGCCAGCGGCGCCTGTCAGGTGGAGAGGCGTGGTCCTGGCCAGCGGCGCCTGTCAGGTGGAGAGGTGTGGCCCTGGCCAGCGGCGCCTGTCAGGTGGAGAGGTGTGGCCCTGGCCAGCGGCGCCTGTCAGGTGGAGAGGCGTGGCCCTGGCCAGCGGCGCCTGTCAGGTGGAGAGGCGTGGCCCTGGCCAGCGGCGCCTGTCAGGTGGAGAGGCGTGGCCCTGGCCAGCGGCGCCTGTCAGGTGGAGAGGCGTGGCCCTGGCCAGCGGCGCCTGTCACGGCCCTGGCCACCGGGTCCATCAACTGGTGTCACATTATCGTCAACTGCGGGAGTTTGAGAGAGTTTGATACTCTGTGATAGTGAGTACCCAGAGGTGAGGGTAGATGAGGGTAGAGAGTACCCAGTGGTGAGGGTAGATGAGAGTAGAGAGTACCCAGAGATGAGGGTAGATGAGAGTAGAGAGTACCCAGAGATGAGGGTAGAGAGTACCCAGAGGCGAGGGTAGATGAGAGTAGAGAGTACCCAGGGGTGAGAGTAGAGAGTACCCAGGGGTGAGGGTAGATGAGGGTAGAGAGTACCCAGTGGTGAGGGTAGAGAGTACCCAGGGGTGAGGGTAGATGAGAGTAGAGAGTACCCAGGGGTGAGGGTAGATGAGAGTAGAGAGTACCCAGAGATGAGGGTAGATGAGAGTAGAGAGTACCCAGGGGTGAGGGTAGATGAGAGTAGAGAGTACCCAGGGGGTGAGGGTAGATGAGGGTAGAGAGTACCCAGAGATGAGGGTAGAGAGTACCCAGAGATGAGGGTAGATGAGAGTAGAGAGTACCCAGAGATGAGGGTAGAGAGTACCCAGAGATGAGGGTAGAGAGTACCCAGAGATGAGGGTAGAGAGTACCCAGAGATCAGGGTAGATGAGAGTACAAAGTACCCAGAGATGAGGGTAGATGAGAGTAGAGAGTACCCAGGGGTGAGAGTAGAGAGTACCCAGGGGTGAGAGTAGAGAGTACCCAGGGGTGAGGGTAGATGAGAGTAGAGAGTACCCAGGGGTGAGGGTAGATGAGAGTAGAGAGTACCCAGAGATCAGGGTAGATGAGAGTACAAAGTACCCAGAGATGAGGGTAGATGAGAGTAGAGAGTACCCAGGGGTGAGAGTAGATGAGGGTAGAGTACCAGGGATGAGGGTAGAGAGTACCCAGAGATGAGGGTAGAGAGTACCCAGAGCTGAGGGTAGATGAGGGTAGAGAGTACCCAGTGGTGAGGGGTAGATGAGGGTAGAGAGTACCCAGAGGTGAGGGGTAGATGAGGGTAGAGAGTACCCAGAGGTGAGGGGTAGATGATCTCATCACTACCCTCATCAACTGTGTCATCACTACCCATCATCACCAGTACCGCCTCACGTTGAGTGACACACAACATTATTCAGATGATCTTGGGTACTCCAAGTTATCGTTAAGTTATCGTAGTCTTCATCCTACCTCTCGTAATTATCAAAGACCGTCCACGACTACCCTAACCGGCCATAACTACCTCTAACCGGCCATAACTACCTCTAACCGGCCATAATTACCTCCTAACCGGTCATAACTACCTCTAACCGGCCATAATTACCTCCTAACCGGTCATAACTACCTCTAACCGGCCATAATTACCTCCTAACCGGCCATAACTACCTCTAACCCGGCCATAATTACCTCCTAACCGGCCATAACTACCTCTAACCGGCCATAATTACCTCCTAACCGGCCATAACTACCTCTAACCGGCCATAATTACCTCCTAACCGGCCATAACTACCTCTAACCGGCCATAATTACCTCCTAACCGGTCATAACTACCTCTAACCGGCCATAATTACCTCCTAACCGGTCATAACTACCTCTAACCGGTCATAACTACCTCTAACCGGCCATAATTACCTCCTAACCGGTCATAACTACCTCTAACCGGCCATAATTACCTCCTAACCGGTCATAACTACCTCTAACCGGTCATAATTACCTCCTAACCGGCCATAACTACCTCTAACCGGCCATAATTACCTCCTAACCGGCCATAACTACCTCTAACCGGCCATAATTACCTCCTAACCGGTCATAACTACCTCTAACCGGCCATAACTACCTCTAACCGGTCATATAGCTAACTCTAACCGATCATAACTATCTCTAACCAGTCAGAAATACCTCTAACCGGTCATAACTACCTCCTAACCGGTCATAACTACCTCTAACCGGTCATAACTACCCTTAACCGGTCATAACTACCTCTAATCAATCATAACTGCCCCTTAACCGGCCATAACCACCCCTAACCGGCCATAACCTTCCCTCAGCCGGCTCAAACTGCCAGCAACCGGAGATGGGTATCTGAGTGAACCGGTTTTGATATCTCCCGCCCTCCTCCCACCCGCTGCCATGGTAACGACGCAAGTGATCCGCTCGTCAACTATGGCGCTGCTGACCCGGAACAACGGATAGGGGTTGTTATCTGTCCCTCGGGGTCTCAGGTTTCCCCTCACTGATCCCCTTTTGTTTACCCTTGTCCCCCCTAGTCTCCTTTCATTCCGTTTTCGTTCCCTCGTATCCCGTTTTCCCTTACCCTTCCTCCCCTCTTTCCGTATCAATCACTTTCCCCTTTTCTACATATTTTCCACTAAGGCAGATGATATATTTGTTGTATTTTCTGAGACTGTGAACGTCTATTGTTGGTGTGGGTGTTGGTGTGGGTGTTGGTGTGGGTGTTGGTGTGGGTGGTGGTGGTGTGGGTGTTGGTGTGGGTGTTGGTGTGGGTGGTGTTGGTGTGGGTGTTGGTGTGGGTGTTGGTGTGGGTGTTGGTGTGGGTGGTGTTGGTGTGGGTGTTGGGGTGTTGGTGGTGTGGGTGGTGTTGGTGTGGGTGTTGGTGTGGGTGGTGTTGGTGTTGTGGGTGTTGGTGGTGTGGGTGTAGGTGTGGGTGTTGGTGTGGGTGGTGGTGTTGTGGGTGTTGGTGTGGGTGGTGGTGTTGTGGGTGTTGGTGTGGGTGGTGTGTGTGGTGTTGGTGTGGGTGTTGTTGGTGTGGGTGTTGGTGTGGGTGTGGGTGTGGTGTGGGTGTTGGTGTGGGTGTTGGTGGGGGTGTGGTGTTGGTGTGTAGGTGTTGGTGTGGGTGTTGGTGTGGGTGGTGGTGTTGGTGTGGGTGTTGGTGGTGTGGGTGTTGGTGTGGGTGTTGGTGTGGGTGGTGTTGGTGTTGGTGGGGTGTGGTGGTGTGGGTGTTGGTGATGTAGGTGGGGGTGTGGGGTGTTGTGGGTGTTGGTGTGGGTGTGGTTGGTGTTGGTGTGGGTGTTCGTGTGGGTGTTGATGATGTGGGTGGTGTTGGTGTGGGTGTTGGTGTGGGTGTTGGTGTGGGTGTTGTTGATGTGGGTGGTGGTGTGGGTGTTGGTGTGGGTAGGTGGGGGGTGTGGGTGTTGATGGTGTGGGTGGTGGTGTGGGTGTTGGTGTGGTGTGTGGTGTGGGGTGGTGGTGGGTTGGTGTTGGTGTTGGTGTGGGTGTGGGTGGGTGGTGGTGTGGGTGGTGGTGTGGTGTTGGTGTTGTGGGTGTTGGGGTGTGGGTGGTGATGGTGTGGGTGGTGTTGGGCGTTGGTGATGTAGGTGGGTGTGTGTGCGTGGTGATGTAGGTGGTGGGTGTGGGTGTTGATGATGTAGGTGTGGGTGTGGGTGTGGGATGATGTGGGTGGTGGTGGTGTGGGTGTTGGTGTGGGTGTTGGTGGTGTGGGTGTTGGGGGTGTGTTGATGTGGGGTGGGGGTGTGGGTGTTGGTGATGTGGTGGGGGTGTGGGTGTTGGTGATGTAGGTGGTGGTGTGGGGGTGTTGGTGATGTAGTGGGGGTGTGGGTGTTGATGATGGTGGTGGGTGGTGTTGGTGTGGGGTGTTGGTGGTGTGGGTGGTGTTGATGTGGGTGTTGGGTGTGGGTGTTGTTGGTGTGGGTGTTGGTGTGGGTGTTGGTGATGTAGGTGTTGGTGTGGGTGTTGGTGATGTGGTGGGGGTGTGGGTGTGGATGTGTAGGTGGTGTTGGTGTGTGTGGGTGGTGTTGGTGTGGGTGTGGGGTGGGGTGGGGTGGTGTTGTTGTGGGTGGGGGTGTGGGTGTTGATGATGTAGGTGGGGGTGTGGGTGTGATGGTGTGGGTGGGGGTGTGGGTAGACGGCTGTAGTGTGGGTGGGGGTGTGGGTGGTGGTGATGTGGGTGTTGGTGTGTGGGTGTTGGTGGTGTGGGTGTTGGTGTGGGTGTTGTTGATGTAGGTGGGGTGTGTGTGGTGGTGGTGATGGTGTAGGTGTGGGTGTGGGTGGTGTGGATGTAGGTGGGGGTGTGGGTGTTGATGATGTGGGTGATGATGTGTGGGGTTGATGATGTGGTGGGGGTGTGGGTGTTGATGGTGGTGGGTGTGTGGGTGTTGATGATGTGGGTGGTGGTGGTGTGGGTGTTGATGATGTAGGTGGTGGTGGTGGTGTTGATGTGGTAGGTGGGGGTGTGGGTGTTGATGATGTGGGTGTTGGTGGTGTGGGTGTTGATGATGTGGGTGGGGGTGGTGTGTTGATGATGTAGGTGGTGGTGTGGGTGTTGTGTGATGATGTGTGGGTGGTGGTGGTGTGGGTGTTGATGATGTGGGTGGGGGTGGGTGTGGGTGTTGTATGGTGTGGGTGTTGATGATGTAGGTGTTGATGGTGTGGGTGTTGATGGTGTGGGTGTTGATGGTGTGGGTGTTGATGGTGTAGGTGGGATGGGGTGGGTGTTGGTGGTGTGGGTGTTGATGGTGGGGGTGTGGGTGTTGATGATGTAGGTGGGGGTGTGGGTGTTGATGATGTAGGTGGGGGTGTGGGTGTTGATGATGTGGGTGGGGTGTGGGTGTGGATGTTGTATGGTGTGGGTGTTGATGTTGGTGTGGGTGGTGTTGATGTGGGTGTGTGATGATGTGGGTGGTGTTGGTGTGGGTGGTGTTGGTGTGGGTGTGATGGTGTGGGTGGTGTGGGTGTGGGTGTTGATGGTGTGGGTGTTGATGATGTGGGTGGTGTTGGTGTGGGTGTTGGTGGTGTGGGTGTTGGTGGTGTGGGTGTTGTTGATGTGGGTGGTGGTGGTGTGGGTGTTGATGATGTGGGTGTGGGTGTGGGTGATGGTGTAGTGTGTGGGTGTTGATGATGTAGGTGTTGATGGTGTTGGTGTTGTTGGTGTGGGTGTTGTTGTTGTGGGTGGTGTGTGGTGTGGGTGGTGGTGTTGGTGTGGGTGTTGGTGGGTGTGGGTGTTGATGATGTGGGTGTTGATGGTGTGGGTGTGATGATGTGTGTGGGTGTGTTGGTGTGGGTGTTGTTGGTGTGATGATGTGGTGGTGGTGTGGGTGTTGTGTGTAGGTGTGGGTGTTGATGATGTGGGTGTTGGTGGGTGTTGGTGATGTAGGTGGGGGTGTGGGTGTTGATGATGTAGGTGGTGTGTGGTGTGGGTGTTGGTGGTGTGGGTGTTGATGGTGTGGGGGTGGTGTTGATGATGGTGGTGTTGGTGTGGGTGTTGGTGGTGTGGGTGGTGGTGGTGTGGGTGATGTAGGTGTGGGTGGTGTTGGTGTTGATGATGTAGGTGTGGGTGTTGGTGGATGTGGGTGTTGATGATGTGGGTGGTGTTGGTGTGGGTGGTGTTGGTGTGGGTGTTGGTGGTGTGGGTGTT